GTCTTATGTAAAACAAGGCGTGGGGATCGACATGAAAATCTGATGAGTACCCTCTGTTTGATACAGTGTGACCCCCCTTTGAAAAATCGCGGCTACGCCTCTGATAAAATACAGCTCATGTCTATATTCTCCCACGATGAAAAAACAAGGTGCTTAAGGGCAGGTGGATTATAATACATAACTTTAGTAGAGATTACTAAATTTTTAGTAACCACTACCACACTAAATGCATGCACAGAGTCGAAAAGTCCTGATCCATAATTGAGGCCCTGTTAGGGAGGGGGGAGGGGGGAGGGGAGTCTTTATGTGCCCCGTCTGAGTTTCATACCTTTTCACGTCGCAGTTTCAGTAGGTTCCCATGTCGCTGTCGGAATTTCGTCCTAAGCCACTAATATCGACATCGGAAATGTTACAGTAGAAAATGTTTCACGTAGATGCGTTCGCGTAATTTTGTTCCCGAAACATTTTCGGATAATTATCAACCAAACTTAATAGCCTTACAAACTGCGACGTGGGAAGACAGAGAGAGAAAAAAACCCAGAAAAGGTCAAATCTGCATTTTGAGCGCGTGACCATAAAGGACATAGAGCGTGACGTGATATGAAAGATGAGAAGAGAAAATGACAAGAGAGTCAGACGACACAGGTCACACCACAGGCTGCCTTGGCTCACGTCTCGAGAAAAAGCAAACGATTAATTCATGAAAGCGTCACGCGTTGTATGACAGGGTGTTAAGTTAAGAAGGGAACCGTTGAGAATTTGAACACGTTATAAGGAATAGTACAAGGAACGAAATATGGTCGATTTACAATGATAAATATTTCGAAATATGAACATTTTACACGTAAAACCAACAAAACTTACCTACAACTTGTGTGTCCGTTATGGTTTCTGGCGATTTCTGCCGTTTTTTAAAAGCTTGTTTTGCCATCAAAACGGACACACAAGGTTTGAGTAAGATCGATTGATTTTACCTGTAAAATGTTCATATTTCGAAATATTTATCGTTGTAAATTGACCATATTTTCGTTCCCCATACTATTCCTTGTAACGTATTCTGAATGGTTCCTCTTGCAACTTAACAACAAGTCACACAACGTGTGACACGCTATTTCTTCCGCCCGAATACGCAGCAAGTCGCTGTCTAATTTTTAAAACGCCAATGTCGCTGTCGATTTCGCGTTAGCGGTTCGTTGTTCCTGGTCATTTCAGCTCCCATTGTGTCGCCGTTTCAGAGTCGTATCGCCTGGCCAAATGTACTTTAACAGGGCTTCATAATGAAACTAACCACAACGGGAGACAAACAGCAATACCACAGTATCATTTCGCTTTATCGAGACCCTCCTACGGTATTCACCTGATTTAAGTCCAACCCTTCTACACCCTTTTCTGTAGTTCAATCTATGAAATCTCTTCTCTTTTATTAATCCTTTTCCAGGCATTGGGGCAAAGCATCCCCATTTTAGAAGGTACACCACCCTCCTCCCCTAATTCATTTGTTTTACTTCAATTGAGTGAAAACACTTCGTAATCTGTCACAACAAAACGTGAATTTCCCGTGAAGAAAGTCTCGCGTTCTGGAAGAAAATTATACACGTTATAATTATTATTAGACTCACTGTGTGATATGTTTGCATGGTCTGAGATACTTAGGGCATGCTGGCCGTAAAACTCGCCGCCAAACGTTGGTCCAAGGTCAGCTCTACATGAGATGAAATTCCCTTGGCCTTGAAGAGTAAGCGGTATTTTAGTTGGTTCATGGCCATGTGGGTTGACCATACTGAACAAGAATGCTTCGGTACAACTTAAGTAACGGTTTTGACCTGTTGATGAGATGATGTTCCTTTTATCACGTGGTTAATTATTGCTGATATTAGACAAACAAAATCCACGACTCTGAAAATTGCATATCTAAATTACATCTCGGTATAAATATCTCAATAAAGTTGAATGAAATGTTAATCGATGCTTTGTGGTTTTTTTTGTTCGCCTTCGTGGGCCGTTTGAAGCGTTTTCTTACGAAATTACTTTTGGCCTGAGGCCGTTAAGAGAAGAAAGGGAGATTAGCAAAACGGTGTTATAGTCACGAAGAAGTGAACCCGACTTTTTCGTTGTTTCACGCCAAAATTTTAACTTAACTTTCGTTTCTACTCAAATCATCAGCCATTATTTTCTACCCGATTGAGTTAATTTACTACTTACTCGTCCAAGACTGCTCCGTAAAACCTCCAAATATATATTCTCCACTCTTCACAATAGTAACAGTAGGCCCGTTGTTGTCACATCTGGAGTGAAAGCATTCGGCTGCGAAGCCATCTCGAGAAGCACGGTACAGAAGACCGAGGCGACGTCGCCTCATCCTCGCGTCATGGAAAGGCAGCCAACCTAGCAGCACGTTGATATGTTCCTCATTCGTGAGTATCTCCGAAAAAAGGCTCAACCTAATTAGTATCCCTTCAATCTGGTAGAACTGCGCTTCAGTTTCAAGTTCTTTGAGAAATTTTGCACCATCCGGTAAAACTAGCTCTCCGTTCCGCAGATAATTGAGTATAAACCGGAAGTGAGTTCCATCCCGGTCGATAAAGAAAGCGCCGTCTTCAAGACGGTTCATCCCAAACTTCCCTGAAAACATGCCGGCTAGCTTTGAGTTTGGATCTCTGGTCAATGTTTGAAGACTTGTGGTGAAGTAATGACCGCCGACATTTAGTTTCACAATCGAGGGAAAACTAAATATTCTTTGACCCTGCTGCATGTTGCTTGCTTTCTGTATCTGTATATCGCCGCTAAAATTTGATTTTCTTAAGCTAAAAAGTAATTCGTTTCCTTAGCAAGGCTTGAAATCACTCCTCACTGTTTGCTAACCAAACTAGGAAGAACTGAAAATGCAGCGTGGGCGAGCTTCGTCGAATGAATAAAATTATCATGGTCACGTGAGGTAATGTTTACATTTATGCTAAAAAAATTGGTCTAAAAGACAAAAAGAAACTGTCATTTGGTCTGATTTTACCAGAGTTCATGAATTAACCCAGTTCTTAGAAAGGATTCTGCACTTAAAATTATGCCGAACGCTCGAATCGAAGACTGAATCAAACTGTACTGAACTGGACTAGACAAGAAAAATAGGTATTCTAAAAACGCGGGCACTCATAACGGTGACTAGAGAAGCACACTCTAATAAATACACTTAAAAGGTAAGCCTGAGCTTTGTTTTGGATGTAAGCTTTCTTATCAGATCAAATAATCGATGAGAGTTCGACGGGATCGTTTCCGTTGCGCACTCTTCAAATGTCAGGTCGTGAAGTTGGAGAGAAGAGCTGTTAAAAAAATTTTATCGATTTTCGCCATCTTGATTTTTCCTAACTTACGAGGCAAACGTAATTTTGGCGGGCGAGAAGTCAGTAATGTGTAGGTGAACATTATAGCTGCCATCCTTGAGTGGGTGGAGCAATGAAAATTACCCAAAATGCGGGAATACCCAAACCGATTGTGACAGCGAAGACCAATGGAGTAAATTCAGTTTCTACCCGCACTTAGGCCTTGGAGGACGAACGGGCCTTAAAGGAAGATAAAATCATTTTATTTGCATTAAGCTCCCTTACCATGCCTCAAGTAATATTTTTTCCCTTTTTTTACAAGACATTTTACGAATCAGCAAACATGATATGGCTTCTTGAAAATCAAAAGAACACTATTGATCCACATTGAATGAATACGACTCTAAATTTATTTTTAAAAAACTCAAGTTTAAAATCAAATAATTTACTTAAAGTTGCAAGTAGAAAGATAGACAGATGGGCACCTTTATTTAAAAAATTAACCAATAGTCCTGTCAGCAGCCCAAAAGTACACTACCCTGCTATCAACAGGACCCCTGAGTTTAAATATACTCTGATTACAAATGCATAAAAAGCATCTTTAGAAACATTTAAAACATATATAGGAAAAATGGGAAAAATACAATTAAGATAATTAATGTGAACAAAAATTATTATAAACAGTACAGCCATGATTGTAAAAGGAACTCTTGGCAACTTGAGTACTTCCTGCAGCCAATTGGATTTGATTTCTTTGCCGTGTAGCACGCAAGAGAACCCTATTAAATTTTAAAGACTGTGATGCATCTAATACATCATAGTTTTCACTGCATATAAACCACATAACATGACTACAAGCAAAGTTTTGGAGAAAAGTAGCCTTTATTATTAAATTACAGTAACAAATAAAACTCCTATTTAAATATATAACCTAAAAATCAGATAATAAACAAACATACTATTGACAACAAAAGGGGTAACTTTTTAAAGAAACTGTGGTGCAAGAACACCTCTGCGACATAGAAATTAATGACAAGGGCACATCCAACCCAGTCGCTAGACACTTTAATCTCCCTAATCATTCTAAATAGCACATGGAAGTTTCCAGCCTTTCCCTACAGTTAGACACTTCCGAAAGCCGCAAAATAAGAGAACAAAAATTTATCTTTCAAATTGGCACCCTAATCCCCACAGCATCAACAAGCTCTTTTAATTCAACTAATTTATTTTTGTTTTTTAATCACCAAATTCATAGCTCCATTTTCCACATATAAACCCACACACAACCCACAATTTCTCTAATCACTCAGACAAAGGGCTAACCCTAGCCTTGAAACATCAGCTTTTAAACTCTTTATGGTGGCCAATTCATGTTATCAACACAGTTGATAATACAAAATTAGCATGTTATACTCTCCCACTGACTCAGCACCACAATTTCTTTAGAAACCTACCCCCTCTATTCATAGCCCCAAAGAGTCTCTGTGGCTTAGTGGTAAAGCATCGGAGAGAGGGTAGGAACTTAAATCCCTTAGCAATCTCTTAAGTGCCTAGCGAGACACTAATGTTACAAACAAAGGGAATACCAACTAGCAGCCCAAATATACACAATTGAGTCTGCTGATGGTGAATTACTTGTACTAAGTGAGCTGCAGGCTCACTTCCTACAAGTAACTTATAATAAGTTGAGACTGTCTCTGTTACAATTTCCCTTGTTTGTAATTCAGAAGCACATCACATAATATTGGTGATGTTTCCAGTAAGAAAGGGGAAAAAATGATGTGTCCCTGTTAGCACTTGATAAAGACCAGACAAATGATATGACTTATCACAGGAATTTCATAAGGGAGAGTCAACAACTGTGTCCTGAAGTTACTAGTGCTCTCAGAAATGCTTAACCTTTGACTTTGATTGCCTTTGACATACAACGTGAAAAACACAAAGGACCACTAACTGAGACTTGAAGTCTAGGCACAAGTGGTGCTCACGTCCATGCATATAAGGTTACAGGATGAAAAGCAATAAATGTCTCCTTTAACATGTTAATTTTCATGAAGATTGGAACCTACAACTTGAAGGAATTATGGCAGTAAGTGGACTGTAATAAATTTGAAAAATAGTGACATCATCATGCTTTGAATGGATTCTGAAAGTTTTCTTTTTCCAAATTCTAAACACCAGAGCATGAAACTAAATTTATAATGACCACTGCCAAACAAAGTACATAGATTAATGAGCCTTTTCTTATTCCTCTTCAAACTCCAATCAGGGATAAGGGATGATCTCAGCCATCCCCTTCCCTTCTTTGCCCATTATGTATCCTTTCACCCTTTCACGCCCAAGATCCCATTTACTAATTCTCCTTACTGTCTGCCATACAATTCTAATGATGTTAGTTCAGAAAATTTGGTATTGGATCAACTAATAATCCCCCTGTAATATTTTTCTTATTTCTCATCACTAGTCTGTTTGATATTGTATTGATATTGTAAGGAGAAATTCAGTCTTGATCACTTGTGCAAGTTAAAGGGTGAATGGATTCAGCAAACTACGACCTTGTAGCAACATAAGGTGTTTCAAATGGACTCCAGAGCCCAGTTGTTCGAAGGCCAATTAGTGCTAATCCAAGGTTGAATTTTAATCCCAGCATCTTTACTCCTTTGTTCAAAAGCCTCTATTGGATAATTTTCACTACCATTTTTAGAGCATTCAATCATCAAACAGCAGACAAAAAAATTCAAACTGAATTTTCTTTTACAGCTTTTAGATGTGAAATCCAATTTCAAACTAACCCTGGTTTATCTCAACCCAGCTTCAAACAACGTGGTCCTTGTCTATAACAGACTTGCCAATGTTATTGCATGAAGTAGAATACCAGTATGCTATAAGTTGAAAAGTCAAATACTTGATTATTGTCATGATGAAGAAAAAAAAAACCTTAGCATAATATTTATCTACTTATAATTTTCTATACCCCTTTCGACCCATAACTCAACCCTTCTTTTCCCTTTTATCAACCTAGAGCCTAAAAAAGCACTAGATAAAGGAAAAGCAACTCATTAACCCTTTACACCCTAATATCAGTGTACAAATTCTCCATACTGTTCTCTAAACATTTCCTAAGGTGCTGACAAGGAGAATTTCTCCAAAAAATTTAGAGCTTCTTTATTTGGTGATCATTTCCTTTAATCTCATAACCTCACACATTAATAATGTGTGATTCAGGGGGTGATATTGTAAGGCGAAATTAAATGCTTATCACCCTTAGGGGTCAAAAGATTAAAAGATATACCCCAGCCATCAGTTGTTACATGCTAGTTCATGAGCAAAAAGACTTCATAATCATCAACAAGAAACTATGTTTTCCTTGTAAAGAAAGTACGGAAGTCTTGATGAAAATCATAGGAGTCACTGATACCAAAGTCACTGGTGCACATATTTTCATGGTCTGAAATTTTTAAAGCATACCCACCATAAAGACCTCTACCGAGTGTTGGTCTATATTCACTGTAACTGCAGATGCCGTACTTTTGGCCAAAAGTAATTGGCATTTTAGTTGGTTCCAGGCCCTGTAGGTTGACCAAACTAAACAAGAATGCTTTTAAACATCTTAAAAGGGCTCGATGTTTCACTCTCGATGAAGTACACCACAGGCAGACAATCCTGCAGGTTTGAGGCCGTGTGACGTCAGTTATTTGATACGCTAGTTGAACACGTACATTGTTTGTAATTTGCGACGGTCGATCTCGGCAAGACGCAAGTGATCCCAAGAAATGTTTCATAAATTCCGCAAATCGTAACATTTCATCCCCAAAATCCGCTTAATGACAGTCAGATAAATAAAGTTCACTTACCTTCGTTTTTCTGTGTTGTCTCGAGTAGCTTTGCGGGGTTTGGGGACGGTTAATTCGCCACTTTGCACTGACGCCTCTCCAAAGGCAAAGGAAAAACACAAGGCGTGCCATTTCCTGGGACCGTCTGGGCCGAAAGCCTCCAGAACTTCGCCGAATTTCTTCTGCTTCCAAATGTCGCTCACCTCCCAGCTTCGAGCACGTTAAAATTCGATAAACGAATAAGAGCCAAGACAAAAATCAGTGCAATCACCGGCCTCTAACCACCTCAAAAGCCTGCTCGATTTCCCACATTTGCTCATCATCTACAGTCGACACATGATGTGGACCGAAGAGGTCGATTACAATCCTTCGATTAACCGTATTAAATTTCAAATTAATCACTAACTGAGCTCAGATTTCACCCGACCCTCCCCACGTCAGTGTATGATGTGTCGGTCGAAAGACGTTGCAAATCAGCCCTGACGTGGGAGGGGTCGGGTAAAATCTGAGGCTCAGGCGAAGTATCCGGAAATGAGCGTAAGGAAAGAAAAGCAAAATAAAACAGCAATAACCTTAAGTGCGTAATTTCATTCCTGATTCAATGTTTTCTTAGAAATATTTCTTTCCTCAAAACTTCCTAGATTTTCACTAAACCAACATGTATCTGTTAGTATAATTACGTTCTCTTACCATCGTTGTTTACCCTCCCTTTGACCCTTTGAGTGCCAAACCTAATTTGGGACTGAATTATCCTTGCTTTGCTTCGCTTTATGATTGGTCCAAAAAAAAACTCTCGCCACTCTCTTAACCAATCAGATGCAAACGTAAGCCAATCACGCCTTAGTCATTCGCGTTTTCCCGCGTTTTTGTCAATTTGTAGGTTTTTGAGTTCTCATTGGTTCTTTAGGGTACTTTACTGTGATTGGCCGTCATGGTTACAATGTTTTTTTTATTTCGTGACACTAAATCGAAAAGGGCAGTGGTTTATTTCAATGGAGGAGACACACATGACGTTTGTTTACGAAAGTGCTGAAATCTCGAGCTTTTTAATGTTTATGAACTCTCGATTATTAGTGGCTTTTATTTAAACTTTTCATTCTGACAAAATATTAAAAATAACCCTTTTTTTTTTGTGCATTCATGCTCTTTTGGAGGGAATTTTACCAATTCATGGTCACGTTGCCAGAGGATGGAACACGACAATAACTCAATCTCGCTTCTGGAGCCCTCGTTCTCTTAACTATTCCGCTGGATAAAAATAACGGAGGCAACGATAGTTAAATTGCCTATTGATCAGTTATGAGGGTAGATAGAAGAACCTTTTAATTGCAAATTTATGCTCAATAACGTATTTTTATGGATACTACAGTTCAATGATAATTTCAGGCACATCTACAGCGACTGATGCAACGAGCACACAGAAGCTCTACCAGAAGCTCTTAAACAACACCTCAACCCAAATAATGAAAAGATCGCTAAAACTACAGAGGCCAGCAAAATAGCAGCCCAGATAGTTACCAAGGAAACTACCACCGTGATAGCCGAAGGAGTGCCAGCGGAAGCTTAATTGACTGTTGACTTTTCGAGGGATTTTGCCAAAACGCCACATGAAAATTTGACTTGTTCCACCTAATAGCTCTTTTATTTCTATCCAAGAACTTAAACTTTTTTTCAGTAAATGAAATATACCATGATTTATTAGCTTACTAGCTATATAAAATTCTCACTTATGTAATAGTTTTAACTCGTTCAACACCAGTTTCTTAGTTTCTGTAGAAGAAGTTCAACTTTTTCTAGTAACCGAAGTATAAGTTGATATATTAGCTTACCAAATATATAGAATACTAGTCTATATGATAAGTTTTAACTATTTCCAACGCAGTGGTTGCTTTGCGAGAAGTTCGAGTTTTTCTTGTAACTAATATATAACTTGATGTATTAGCTTACAAACTATACAGATTACTTAACTTTTTGAATAGTTTTAAATGGTTACACAAAGTAAGGGTTTTTTTATTTCTTTTCAAGGAGTTAAAGTTTTTCCTGTGACGATATGTAACTTGATGTATTAGCTTATCAACTACAGAAATAACGATACGAACTAAAAATTATACAGGAGCTTTTGTTACCTTATTTCGTTTACATTTACAAAATCATGTAAATGTTAGCGTTCAGTAAAAGATTTGGTAGTTCAACTGTAAAAAGCAAAATACAACCAAGGATGTAGCTACGGGGTGGGGGGTCCTGGGGTGGCCGTGACCCCCTCTTTGTAAGCCTTTTTTTGGTCACATTAAGTAAAACAAGGCGTGAGGATCGACATTACAATCAGGAAAGTACCCTCTGTTTGTCACGGTGTGAACCCCCCCCCTCTTTACGCCTCTGATAAAATACAGTTCATGTCTATATTCTCCCATGATGAAAAAAAACCAAGGTGCTTGAGCGCAAGTGTACTATAATACATAACTTTAGTAGTGATTCGTAAATTTTAATAACCACTACCACACTAAATGTATGCACAGTGTCGAAAAGTCGTGATCCATAATTGAGGCCCTGTTAGGGAGGGGGGGAGGGGGTGGTCTTTATGTCCCCCGTCTGAGTTTTATACCTTTTCACCTCGCAATTTTGGAAGGTTCCCATGTCGCTGTCGGAATTTTGTCCTAAGCCACAGATATCGACATTGGAAATGTTAAAATACAAAATGTTTCACATAGATGAATTCGCGTAATTCTGTTCCCGAAACATTTTCGGATAATTGTCAACCAAATTTAATAGCCTTACAAAGTGCGACAAGGGAAGACGGAGAGAAAAAACCTAGAAAAGATCAAATCTGAATTTTGAGCGCGTGACCATAAACGACACAGAGCGTGACGTGATATGAAAGATGAGAAGAGAAGATAACAGAAGAGAGTCAGACGACAAAGGTCACACAGTAGACGGTCAATACTCACGGAAAGTTTTACCATATTTTCTTCGGACCGAATGCGCAGCAAGACGCTGTCTAATTTTTAAAACGCCAATGTCGCTGTCGATTTCACTTTTTCTTTTTCGCTGTCGTAATTTCGCGTGAGCGGCTCGTCGTTCGTCGTCATTTCAGCTCCCTCGAGCCGTGTCGCCTGTCGAAATTCACCCTAACAGGGCCTCATGATGAAACTAACCCCAACGGGAGACAAACAGCAATACTACAATATCATTTCGCTTTATCGAGGCCTTCGAAAGGTATTCATCTGATTTAAGTCCAACTCTTTTACACCCTTTTCTGTGGTTCAACCTCTGAAATCTCTTCTCTTTTATAAAGTTAATCCTTTTCCTGACAAAGGTTCTCAATATTGGGGCGAAGCATCCCCGAAGTAGAAGGTACACCCCACCCCACCCCCTCCCCGCAATCATTTGTTTCGATTTACTCAAGTAAAAACACTTCGTAATCAGTCACAACAAATCTTGAAGATCCTGTAAAGAAAGGCTCGCTTTCTAGAGGAAAATCATATGCGTTATCATCATCACAAGACTCACTATATGATACGTCTGCATTGTCTGAGATTTTTAGGGCCCAACGCCCGCCACGTTCCCTGCCGCCAAACGTTGGTCCTTGGTCAAATCCATACGAGATGCCATACCGGCTTTCATAAGGACGAGTAAGCGGTATTTTAGTTGGTTGATGCCCATGTGGGTTGATCATACTGAATAAAAATGCTTCAGTACACCTTGAGTGACCATTTTCACCTGTTGATATAATTATGCTCCTTTAATCACAGGCACACCACACTATGTGTTCGTGGTTAACCCTTTAACTCCCAAGATCTGATTGTTAATTCTCCCCTTCAGCTTCGACACATTTCCTTGTAAATTGGTTAGGAGAATTTGGTGTTAGATCGAGATAATATCTTGTACCTAATGAATTTGAGTATTCTCACTACCTGTTTGCTGAATAATGTATGAATATTGTAGGGAGAAGTTAAATGTTTATCACTTCTGGGAGTTAAAGAGTTAATTACCGTGGGCATGAGACGAACAAAATCTATGAGGGTTATGGATAAAGCTCTGAAAACTGCATATCTAAATTACCTCTCGGTCTGAATATCTCAATAAAGTTTAATGAAATGTTAATCGATGTTACCTTTGTGGTATTTTTGTCGCCTTCGTGGGCCGGCCGTTTGAAGCGTTTTCTTATGAAATTACTTTTGGCCGGAGGCCGTTTAGAGAAGAAAGGGAGATAAGAAAAACGGTATTATAGTCACGAAGAAGTGAACCCAACGTTTTCGTTGTTTCACGCCAAAATTTTAACTTAACTTTCGTTTCTACTCAAATCTTTAGCTACTATTTTCTACTCAATTAAGTTAATTTACCACTCACATTTCCAAGACTGTTCTGTAAAACCTCCAAATACATTATTTCCACTCTTCACAATAGTAACAGTGGGCCCTTTGTTGTCACATCTGGAATGAAAGGTTGCGGCTGCGAAGCCATCTCGAGAAGCTCGGAAGAGAAGACGAAAGCGATGTCGCCTCTTCCCTGAGTCAAGCAAGGGCAACCAACTTAGCAGCAGGCTGATATGTTCCTCATTCGTGAGTATCTCCGATCTAATACTCAACTTCATTTGTATCCCTTTAATCTGGTAGAACTCCGCTTCGGTTAAAAGTTCTTCTACAAACGTTGCACCATCCGGTAAGACTAGCTCTCCGTTCCGCAGATAATTAAGTATAAACCGGAAGTGTTTTCCATCCCTGTCGAGGAAAAGGGTGCCGTTCTCGGCATGCTTCCCTGAAAACATGGCGGCTAACCTCGAGTTTCGATCTTTGGTCAGTGTTTGGAGAGTTGTTGTGAAGTAATGGCCACCAACATTCAGTTTCACGCTCGAAATCGATTTCAATTCATCTAGTATCCCTTGTATTTGGTAAAACTCAGCTTCTTCGGCAAGTTCTTTCAGAAATGTTGCTCCATCTGGTAAAGTTAATTTACCAGTGCGAAGATAATTGAGTATAAACCGGAAGTGAGTTCCATCTCGGTCGATAAAGAAAGCGCCGTCTCCACGAGGTTCCATTTCAAACTTCCCTGAGAACATGGCGGCCAGCATTGAGTTTGGATCTTTGGTCAGTGTTTGAAGACTTGTGGTGAAGTAATGACCGCCGACATTCAGTTTTACAATCGAGAGAATACTTTGATCATGCTGCATGTTGTCTACTTTCTGTACCTGTTTATCGCTACAAACAGGTTTTGGTGAGTAAAGTGTAAAATACTTTCTTGAAGTCATTCCTGCTTTCTGTTCGCTGACCAAACTTGCGAGATATGATGAGAATCTTAATTATTGCCAAGGGGGAGGGTGAGGGTGGGAGGGGGGGTTGGAGGATTTTGGTTGTTTCACAATAAAGTCTACGTGATCACCCAA